TTCTTTATTTTCTCATAAACATTGTCCGCGAGTAATGATTTTAAAAATTCTTCAAGAGTCACGAATCGAAAATAATTTTTGCTAATATTCGTGTCATTTGTTTTTTTCTCATCTAGGATCTTTTTTTTTATACAACAATCCCAGGCATTGAGAAGTAATAATCTGGCTGTAAGCTCTCCACGGTAACCGGCCTCTACTACGCCTTTTTTTAAGGCTTCGGAGAGCTTATTAATAAGTTCTGTGAGGCTGATATGCGGATCATTCATTATTCGAGCGCTAGCCTCTGCTAGCACAGGTTCGGTAGGCATCGATGTAACAACGTATTTACGATCCTCTAAGACACTAATACAAAGGCGCATATTGTTTGCTATTAAATCAGGCGCATAACTAGATTGTGGCGCTATTTCGATACATAAACGGGGTCCTAGAATAGCTAAAGTATCCAATATTCCAATATGTACTTTTTTCTTCCAAAAGCTGAAAAATTGTCCGCCAATAAGCTTGTCCATGGCCAATTCGATAATACGTTCTGATTTCATTCCTTTAGTATCACTAGAAGGCATTAATAGTGCACCCCACAAAGGTCTTCCATACTGAAAAAAATGTTGTGGATCTTCTGATTCCTTTAATGTCATTACTTCCTTAAATTTAACATTCATGTCCATAGTGTCTAACAAATAAAATGGCGCAAATAACAGATACCCTTCCTCTGCAACTCTTTTAGATGGATCGAGGTAAGAAGTAGGCGAAAAGTTCGAAATATTTGAATGTGTGTCCGTAAAGACCGCAAAAATTCCTGATCCTTCGGGTAAGAGAATTAAAGCACGTCGAATATAATAGAACGGTGAATTGTTTTCAACGTTCTTACTTCCACCCTTCTTACCAACCAGCATACGAGCTTCATCGAATGCAAACAGGTATTTAACTGAACCTTCTCGTTCTTTTCTTTCTGGTTCTGTTCTTTCTTTTTTAACCAAATATTTCTTAACCGATTCAGTTGTATCACTATCCGTAGAACATTTCATTAAATCGTCCTTGATAGATTTCATTCTGTTTTCAACATCTCTCCAAAATATGTTTAATGTTGTAATGAAATTGTTATTTTTTAAAAAGCGATCACGGATGTGGTATCCGAAAGCAGGCCGTAAGTGCTATTTCTTCCGAAATAATAGAGAAAATTTGAGTCGATATTATCACACTACGCAAATGACATATGTACGTATAATTACAATGAAATAATCATCGACTTCGATATCGATATTGTTATGACGGAACAATAATATTACAGTTTTACTGTATTCAAAATCACATGTATGATCACTTAAAAAATGCACGCGTGATCTGCTGTACGACAATCTGATTGTTTGTATAAACTATAAAAAGGTAGAATGTACGACTATTTCTTACTAAAAAAATTTTTTCGTCCTATCCCAAAAACTAAATACGTAAATAACCATGTCTACTGCCGGAGAAAAAGTTCTTTCTACAGCCGATGAAGTGAGAAGATGTAAAACAACAGAACAACTAATAGAGTTTTTGGGCAAGCAAGACTTAGGACTTGAGAATAAGCATTTCGATATTCTTCGTGGACAAGAAATTACTGGTCGGAATCTCCTTAGGTTGAATGTGGATAAGCTCATGAGCTATGGTTTAAAAGGAGGGCCAGCTGAAACCATTGCTGAATTTATTGAAAAAATTAAGGGCGAAGGACAGGGTAAGTAGTACCACGACTGCATTCGAAGACACAAAGTGTCGAGTCTCTGACTCATATTCCAAACCTATACTGCTTTCTCCGCAATAATTTCATTTATTAACTTGGGCCTCATACTACAGATACGGGTAAGCACTATGAATATTTTAGTTTTCTCGTTTTATTATATTGTGATATCATTTACGAAATTTACAATTTTGCTTTTAGCCCCCTTATACTTTCAGTACCTCGCGTCAAAAGTTCATTGTGTTAGTTCCGGCGCCTGGGAGGATTTTATTCAACTGCATAAACATTTAAAAGAATGCTTCAATATTGAAGGCCTATTGGAAAATTATGTGTTTATTATTGGGGATAAAGAAATTGATTTTGGCTGGTCGAAAATGCAAATTATCGACTTCCTTAAACAACAGAAATGCTCGACTGATAATCCAGTCAGGATATCTGACGTAGAAAAAGGTATGATATTCAGTCACTTGCTGATCGCAAATATCCTGAATTAATGCAATTTTATCTTATTGATTTTGTTACTTATTATTACTTAGACCAAGCAAAAGTAGCAGACGCAGGTTCAAGTAAGTTTTATGAATAGTATTATACTAGTAACGGTTTCTGAATGAAATTTGACTGTTTCTCATACATTCTGTCAGTATATCGTACTACAAATGAAGAAGAGGAGGAAATTGTCCGGAAAGCTTTTGATAGAGCTTTTCAAGATCCAAGTGACCTTTCGGAAAGGTTCACGTCTTTTATTGACAAATGTTCGCGTGAATACGAAACGAAAAAAGGCTATTATGCGCCATACACAACCTTAATTCAAGCCAGTGGCACAGGAAAATCCAAATTATTGAAAAATTTTGCAGAAAAAATAAAGACCATATATTGCTGTTTGCGAGACTCCAAATCAAGTGGCTATCCATCCAGATCACATATTTCTGATACATTATTACATGAATTTAAGAATGGACGAGACGTCTTCATTACCTATCTTGCATACATATGCGCATGTTTTCAAAAGTCGCGGGAATTCAATGGGAGTTGTAAAGAATGGATTGATGAACATACCAGTAAAAATTCAGAGGTGAATTTCTGGAATGACATTGAACACAGAATGGCTGATATATCGCACGAGCTTAAGAAAAGTCTTACAGATAGCGAGATGACTGAAAGGATCAACAAGTACTTGGATGGAGAAAAAGTGATAACACAAGAGGGTTCAGTTAAATGTATGTTTGCTTTCGATGAAGCTCGTACTCTAGTTAATAAGAAGGTTGAAAATGAGACCTTGTTCTACCATGTTCGACGTGCTTTAAACCTTCTACCCAAAAAGGCAAGAATTTTTACAATCTTTACGGACACACACTCAAATATTTCGAACTTCTCGCCTGTTGCCTACCTCGATCCATCCAAAAGAGTTGCGGAAAAAGGGTCTCTATTATTTGAACCGTTTTATATGTTAGACACTGTGGACATGAACGTTGATTTTAAAAAAGTACCGACTCTGAAAGAGTCTGAAGATCCACAAAATTTCTTTCAATATGGAAGGCCTTTGTGGGGTGCACTATTATGTCCTTCTAGCGAAACTAAAGGATTCAAACCAGAACGTATTATCGAATTGGCCATGGACAAGCTTATTGGTGGGAAGTCTTATATTTTTTGGAAAAGCGAAGTTCAAAACAAATTTAATATTATGGAAACTTTGGCTATTTTTGGACCCCGTTTGTGTATTGACATAGTTCCACAATCTAGATATGCATCTCATTTAGTAGCAAGCTATATGCACCTTTGTCTTGATATCTCAGAGGATCGTGAATGCATTATTACATCGATGCCTAGTGAACCTGTGCTGGCAGAGGCGAGCGCTCGAATAATGAATGATCCAGATGTCTGCTTCACAGAACTTATTAATCAGCTCTCTTCAGCGCTTAAGAAAGGTGTAGTAGAGGCCGGTTACCGTGGAGAGCTTACTGCTAGGTTATTGCTTCTTAGAGCCTGGGATGATTGTAATAAAAAGAAACACCCACGTGGTACAGATGTTGGCAACGATTATTCTCGTTTCGTGACTATAAATGAATTTTTACGGTCACTACTCGCAGACAATGTTTATAACAAAATAGAGAATCGCCTTGGAGAGAAAGTAATGTTTACGGGAACGAAGTTCGGCGAAGCTTACATTAAGTTTACACACTTTATCAATATTACGTATACGCCGAACAGGAAAAATCTCAGGGATGCTCTAATCCGTGGTGTTGCATTTTCATGTAAACGAAATCAACGAGGCGTAGATATCATTATACCTATATATATAGGCACTCTTTATGAACATCTTAACGAAGATCGTATTTCATATATATTAATACAAGTTACAAATTGGTCCACGCGTAATAAAGGCGATGACTACTTACTTTATGCAACGGCTTTTCTGTCGCCAGCATATATAGGCATTGAGGAACTTCCGCATATGCCATTTTTATCGTTGTATTTGCAATTAGGTGCAACAACAGAGTTTGTTGACATTCCGGAAGAGTTTGTTGAAACGCGCCAAACACGTCAAGTCAATTCGTGTAAACGTAAAATCAATGAAGTACTAAAAGATTATAAAAATAATAAATAAAATCCTTTCACAACTCTTCCCGACGATCACCTATACCCTTTTTTTCACAAAAACCGAACTGTAAATTATAGTTAATATAGCAAGAATAATTACAAAACTTCTCTATAGCGATTAAGAACAAGA